AAAAACCAATAACTACTGGAACACTGGATCCCTCTGCATCTATTGGGATTTAATCCTTAAATTAAATTCTCATAGATAAAAGTCCTTATCAACTTCCGTACAGATTGAATCCAACCCGTCTGTGTGCTTGAAGTTGTAATTAATAAAATCGCCACTTGTGTGATACCGTCACCATCAGCCACTCACCTGATAGATTGATCTACTAGACTTCGGTCTAGTTGCACCTTTAACCCTATTATCCCTGGGTTATGGGGATTTCCTTCATCTTGGGATGCTCTGGTACAGGTAATTTATCGGTATATATGTAGGAAAAAATATGTAAGCATGGGAGGGAGGACGCTGACCTGGTTCATGGAGTCCCCACCAGGTGCTGCATTCATATGGAATATTTGTTTTACCTTTGCTGCTATCTGTGGTGCACCAGGACAGTGCACTTTCCTTGTGAGTGTGTGATTTTATCTATGTTTTAAATAAATTGTATACACGGGTACACACTATGTTAGCATATTTTTCCTACATATATACCAACTAATTACCTGCACCAGAGCATCCCAAGATGAAGGAAATCCCCATAACCCAGGGATAATAGGGTTAAAGGCGCAACTAGACCGAAATTTAGTAGATCAACCTATCAGGTGAGAGGCTGGTGGTGACGGTATCCCACAAGTGGTGATTTTATTAATTACAACTTTGTGCACACGGACAGGTTGGATTTATTCTGTATGGAAGTTGATAAGGACTTTTATCTATGAGAATTTCATTTAAGGATTAAATCCCAGTAGATGCAGAGGGATCCAGTGTTTCAGTATTTATCGGTTTTTATATATCTTAACTTTGTGATATATGCAGCGCTGTCCTGGATGTAGTGTTGTAATTTTGTATATGTGGTGTGATCATATGAGGACTTAGTGGCAGCATATCTATATATTTGTTATTTTAGAGTATATTATTGGTAGCAATGTTCATTCAGTGATTGGCCACAGGTTTTACTTACCGTATTTGCCGGCGTATAAGACGACTGGGCGTATAAGACGACCCCCCTACTTTTCCTGCTAAAATGTAGTGTTTGGGCTATACACACGCCGTATAAGACTACCCCTCTTCCAATGCACACCAGTGGGAGGAATAGTGCCCCATCATTGATGTCAGTGGGAGGAATAGTGCCCCATCATTGGTATTAGTGGCAGGAATAGTGCCCCATCATTGGCATTAGTGGCAGGAATAGTGCCCTATCATTAGTATCAGTGGAGGAATAGTGCTCCATCATTGGTGTCAGTGGGAGGAACAGTGCCCCATCATTGGTGTCAGTGGGAGGAATAGTGCCCCATCATTGGTATCAGTGGCAGGAATAGTGCCCCATCATTGGTATCAGTGGGAGGAATAGTGCCGCATCATTGGTATCAGTGGGGGGAATAGGTGCCCCATCATTGGTATCAGTGGCAGGAATGGTGCCCCATCATTGGTATCAGTGGCAGGAATAGTGCCCCATCATTGGTGTCAGTGGGAGGAATAGTGCCCCATCATTGATGTCAGTGGGAGGAATGGTGTCCCATCATTGGTGTCAGTGAGGGGTGGAATAGTGCCCCATCATTGGTGTCAGTGGGGGGTGGAATAGTGCCCCATCGTTGGTGTCAGTGGGGGGGGGGGGGGAATAGTGCCCCATCATTGGTGTCAGTGGGGGGGAGGAATAGTGCCCCATCGTTGGTGTCAGTGGGAGGAATAGTGCCCCATCATTGGTATCAGTGACACCAATGATGGGGCACTATTCCTCCCACTGAGACTTGCTGACCCTGTTCTCGTATGGTGCTGCTGCAGCCAGCATATGTGGTTGCAGCAGCACATCTACACAGAACACTTACCTGCTGCTCCGGCACTCAATTTTCGCGGGGCCGCTCGGCTCCGCCCCCTCGCCGGTGATTGGCCGCCTGTGTGCCTTTCCTGAGCTACAGTTCTGGCGGCCAATCACCGGTGAGGAGGCGGAGCCGAGCAGCCGCACGAACATCCAGTGGCCGAACTGAAGGAGACGCCGCGCTTCCTGGACCGGATCGTCGTGGAACTGGATCCAGGTAAGAGACATCAGCCCCTGCAAACCCCTGTACTTAATGCCGCAGCCCCCCTAAACATGTGTACCGGCGTATAAGACGACCCCCGACTTTTGAGAAGATTTTCAAGGGTCAAAAAGTCGTCTTATACGCCGGCAAATACGGTATTTATTTACTGTAAAAAACTAGTTATAGATTGATTAGGGCCCTGTACATTTTTGCTTAGCTTGCTGGATTCAGTGTAGGGATCTACTGGAACTCTTCAGCAGCCATTGTGCTGTGCTGGGATTCTGGTGTGTGTTCCTTAACCTAATGAGAACGGAGCTACCTCCAGGCATACCTGCCCATTTATTCATTGCTATATACAGTATGTCCCAAGCTGTCATAGACTAGAGTTAAGGACCACATTACACAAATGAACCTCAAAGAGGCATTGTGGTTTCCACATATATGTAAAATGTATGCAACTAAAACTTCTGTCTATAAAGGATGAGTTCATCTTTCTGAACATGTTACACTCATATTTATGGTGTAACATGTAACATGTTCAGACTCAGACCCCTCTCCCCCGATACCCCCCTCTTTGTAGCAGCAAGCCGGGGGTCTTCTCTTGTACTCAATTCCACAATTCAAAGCGAGCGTGACCATGCGGCAAAGCCCACATAGCCATGTCCTTGATTCACAGATCCTGTGAATCAATAAACTACAAGAACGGCAGCCTTCGTAGCTGTCAGCTCATAGTTCTCAGTGAACTATCACAGCGCTTTTAACCACCGTGATAGTTCATTCATTCTTCCTGTCAGTGTTAAATGATCTCCTGTAAAAAAAATTAGCATTTGTTATTTTTTGTAAAAAGGTGATCTTATCCCTTAATACAAATTGTTGAAATAATGTACTTTTCACATTTTTTATGGCTGGCTGGTGAGTGTTCTAAGAAATGTTTGTATTGTATTTACTCTGCAAAAACCTGTATAACTTACTTCTAAAAGCTAGTTATACACTGCTCAAAAAAATTAAAGTAACACTTTGAAAACACATCAGATCTCAATAGGGAAAAATATCATGCTGGATATCTATACTGATATGGACTGGGTGATGTGTTAGGAATGTAAAGATGCCCCATCGTTTGATTGAAATGGAAATTATCAACCTACAGAGGACTGATTTCAAAGAAACCCCAAAAATCAAAGTGAAAAATGATGCAGCAGGATAGTCCATTTTGCTGAAATTTCATTGCAGCAACTCAAAATGGTACTCAGTAGTTTTTATGGCCCCCATGTGCTTGTATGCATGCCTGACAATGTCGGCGCATGCTCCTAATGAGATGAGGGATAGTGTCCTGGGGTATTTCCTCCTAGATATGGACCAGGGCATCACTGAACTCCAGGACAGTCTGAAGTGCAACCTGGTAGCATCAGATGGACCGCAACATGATATCCCAGAGGTGTTCTATTGGATTTAGGTCAGGCGAGCGTGGGCCCATTCAATGGTATCAATTCCATCATCCTCCAGGAACTGCCTGCATACTCTCGCCAAATGAGTCCTGGCATTGTCATGGACTAGGAGGAACCCTTGACCCACTGCACAAGCATAGGGTCTGACAATGGGTCCAAGGATTTAATCCCAATGCCTAATGGCAGTCAGGGTGCTGTTGTCTAGCCAGTAGAGGTCTGTGCGTCTCTCCAGGATATGCCTCCCCAGACCATCACTGACCCACAGCCATTCTGAACAATGTTACAGACAGCATAACATTCTCCATGGCTTCTCCAGACCCTTTCACGTCTGTCACATGTGCTCACGGTGAACCTGCTCCCATCTGTGAAAAGCACAGGGTGCCAGTGGTGGACCTGTCAATTGTGGTGTTCAATGGCAAATCCAATCGAGCTCTATGGTGCTGGGCAATGAGCACAGGGCCCACTGGCCCTCAGGCCACCCTCATGAAGTCTGTTTCTGATTATTTGGTCAGAGAGATTCACACCAGTGGTCTGCTAGAGGTCAGTTTGTAGGACTCTGGCAGTGCTCATCCTGTTCCTCCTTGCACAAACGTAGCAGATACTGGTCCTACTGATGGGTTAAGGACCTTCTACGGCCCTGTCCAGCTCTCCTAGAGTAACTGCCTGTTTCCTGGAATCTCCTCCATGCTCTTGAGACTGTGCTGGGAGACACAGCAAACCTTCTGGCAATAGCATGTATTGATGTTCCATCCTGGAGGAGCTGCACTGCCTGTGTAACCTCTATAGGGTTCAGGTATTACTTCATGCTACCAGTAGTGACACTGACCCTAGCAAAATGCAAAACTAGTGAAAAACAGTCAGAAACAATGAGTAGGGAAAAAAATGTCAGTGGCCTCCACCTGTAAAACCATTCCTGTTTTGGGGATCATCTCATTGTTGCCCATCTAGTGCACCTGTTGGTAATTTCATTAACACCAAAGTGGCTGAAACTGATTAACGACCCCCTCTGCTACTTAACTGACCAGATCAATATCGCAGGAGTTTAACCACTTGGCTTCCTGAGGCTTCCCTCCCCCCCTTATTGACCAGGTAATTTTTTGCGTTACAGCACTGCATTACTTTAATTGACAATTGCGTAATCATGCAACGCTGCACCCAAATTAAAATTTATGTCCTTTTCTTCCCACAAATTGAGCTTTCTTTCGGTGGTATTTGATCACCTGTGCATTTTTTATTTTTACTATAAAAAAAAAAGACTGACAATTTTGAGAAAAAAAAATATTTTGGACTTTTTGCTATTAAACATGTCCAGAAAAAAAAAAATTTTAAAATTCAAATTTTGTCATAAATTTAGGTCAAATTGTATTCTTTCACATGTCTTTGCTAAAAAAAATCCCAATACATGTAAATTAATATTTTTTAAGTGACAGTTATAGTATCTACAAATGGCGGTATATATACACTGGGATTTTTTTTCTATATGTTTACTAGTAATGGCTGCGATCAGCAACTTATAGCGGGACTTCGGGACTGCGGTGGACATTCTGAACCTGGGGAGGGAACTGACTTGGTGTCACTGACATCTCCAGTGACACCAATACAGTGATCAGTGCTAAAAAAAAGCAACGACACTGTACTAATGGCACTGGGCACAAAGTGGTCAACATGAGGGGCGATCAAAGGGTTAACTGTGTGCAGGGAGTGTTTTACTAGGGGGCAGTGTGTGTGTGTTTCTCTGTAATCACACTGCTCTGGATGGCTGTGCTGTGCACAGCCATCCAGAGCATTGTGCCCAAGCTGACAGGGAGGAGGACTGTTAGTAAACAAAACAGTCCTCCTCCCCATCGGTTATTGTCGGAAATGCCAGCGAGTAATTACGGGTCAGAAATGGAATTGTTTAGATCAAAGCATATTCATGTGTTAGAATGGCCTAGTCAAAGTCCAGACCTAAATCCATTTGAGAATCTGTGGCAAGACTTGAAAATTGCTGTTCACAGATGCTCTCCATCCAATCTGACAAAGCTTGGGCTATTTTGCAAAGAAGAATGGGTAAAAATTTCACTCTCTAGCTGGTAGAGACATACCCAAAAAAGACTTGCAACTTTAATTGCACCGAAAGGTGGTTCTACAGAGTATTAACTCAGGGGGGCTGAATACAAATGCACGCTACACTTTTCAGATATGTATTTGTAAAAAATTTTGAAAACTATAATTTTTCTTCCACTTCACAATTATGTGCCACTTTGTGTTGGTCTATCACATACAATCCGCCGAAAAAAATTCCGTTTTTGGTTGTTACATGACAAAATGTGGCACTGTAATATAGCATGTCTTATAGCACGTACTGTATTTTTAAGGTATAATATACAGTGTATAGTATTTAAAAGCTATAAATACAGATTCAATTATTAATGTTTTGCCATAGAAACTCAAAAGAGCAACAACAAAATTTGAAATTTGCTACCTGATTATACAGTACCATTTTAGTTTAATATATATGTATGTATATATATATATATATATATATATATATTTTATCATCATATGTATCTATTTCTTTTGGTTTCACTGGGGTACTTTTCTTCATTACAAATGCAGCATCTTATTGCTCTCATTTCAATATCAACACATATATGGCAAAGCTTGCCAACAAGTTAACTAAGGCAGTTAAAAGCATTGCATGTGTGTGCTGTGTAAACCCATTGCATCAATGATCCAACAGCTTGCTTATGCACCTATTTGGCGAGGTCTGGAAAATTAGAACAGCTTTTCTTCTCTGGCAGCATTAAGCAATATAACACTCCCTGGAGTGTTAAAGAAAATTGTATCATGGCAAATACTGCAGTAAGGATGTATTCTACAGTGTCATTTCAACTCCATTGCACTTGATATACAAAAGACAATATTCAAAGTGCTTTCAAAGCAGGTACTGAGAGCTAACTAAAAAATAAATGGCAATAAATTGTTCATGCAAACATGTCTGCACACATGTTTTGTTAATAAATACGGCAATTATGAGGAACTTTTATTTTATCGAATGAATACATTTCCATACGGAATGATAGATAACTAATACTGTACATCAGTGTATGACCTAATATTGTTAGGATATGACCTAATTATGTTAAAGTACTACTTAGGGTATCCACAAGCATTAGTTGATCAGATGTTGCTGAACAGTATACAACCACAACATATGCCCCAGATGACCTGTTTCAGGAAAAAAATGTTCTCCCTATACAATTACTCTACCCTGTTGCTCCAAGATAAGGCCGGTAAAAAGAGTGACTTCTCCAGGGATAGTTTCGCTACAAACTTCTATTTGGACCCCAATTGTCTCCCCTTATCTAAAAAACTTAAAAAATAACAAAAGAGTTGTTTAATCTTTTTCATGACAGCATGGATGTTTCTAATCACTAATCATAATAATACATGATGTGAATTAAAAAAAAACAAACATAAAATAAACCCAAAATAGCTTGACCATTTTTGTCCTTTTATTTTTTTTCTCTTTTTTGTTGTTCAAGTTTCTAAGACAGCGTTTCTCAACCTTTTTTCAGTCAAGGCACCCTTTCAAATTATGGACAGTCCCGAGGCATTCTTTAAAATTTTGGACAGTCTTGAGGCACCCTTTTCTAAAATGGGGTGCCTCAAGACTGTCCATAATTTTAAAACGGCACCCCATTCTAAAATGTAAAAAAACTATTCTAATAGTTTTATATAACTCAGTAACATCCACACATGTAGGACACCCAACATTAAAAGTGATTTATTCTTCCAAAGCAAATACACTTTTGCACACTGGTACTGAGCAGTATTCCAATGTTTCTCTTCTCCCTCAGTTTTTATCCATCACTGAGCTAATGTGACACCAGCATTGATGGAGAGGGGCAGGACAGAGTCAAACTAGAATGCTGTGCAGGCAGATGACATCCTCCTTATCAACTGATGATGTCATTGGTTGTCAGGATGCCAGCGGCTAGAAGGTCATAATGGTGAGCAATCAAAAACTGTGGCTTTGTATAACTAAAAAGCTGGTTTGATCCACCTGCTGGCTTGTATACAAGCTTTGGACAATTTTTAGACATTTTGCCCAAGGCACCCCTGAAGAAACCTCAAGGCACCCCAAGGTGCCTGGGCACCCTGGTTGAGAAAGGCTGAACTAAGACAATGAAAACAAAAAGGACCAAAACAAAAACAATTGCATTTTTACCTTGGCCGCATACTTATCCTTTTATATCGTTGACGTTTTCAAGTTTCCTGAAAAAAAACAACAACATACACAAAAATAAATGAAAACAGATGAAGGAGAAAGGATATTACTAAAATCATTTTATTTTTCTTTGACTTAGGGAATGGGTTTTGTTGTTGAATGAATGTCTTTATCAATGAGCTGTATAAAAAAAAAACAACTCATTGATTAAACTTCGAGAAGATAAAACGAGGACACAGTATTGTATAAGTTTTAAAAATAGTTTTGCTGATCAACAACAAAACTCATAGTTTGATACCAGTGAGAAGGAAAGTGAAAGACTTCTTGTAGAGCCACTGGGGGACAACAGTAGTATGCGCATCCCCCCGCCTTATTCAACATAGTGTGTCTGAACTTAACCAATTGGTAAGACAATCACAGAATCCTTAGTTTTTAAGTTGCATTTGTATTTTATATTTTTTTTTTGCTGTGCTACAAGGAAAGATTATAATTCACCATTGGTGAAATTTAGGACTAAAAAAACCTGACAATTCTGCTGTAAAGTCAAGTCCAATGAAATTTTGTGGTTATCGCTACTCGTGTACTTGGTAGAGTACCCCAGTATTATAAGGCTATAAGGCTACAGATAAGCAAATAACCTACTACTTCCCAATATATATAAGTTATAATGTATATCATATATTTATTACAAAGGGGTGTGGTTTTTCTCAAATTGTTTGGTTATCTCCACTTAGAAGGAACCAACTGAAATCCCTCTTTGGTGATGAGCCTTATGAGGTGAGAATCCCAACTAACATAACAAGAAAGTATAGTACTTAACACAAATATTAACACTGTTTCTTCTGAAAAATGCTAAGGAAAACCCCAGGAATACAGAAAGGAAATGCATTTATTTATCCATAGATTTATGAGACAATATCTTTAGATATTTTATAGAACAAAATCGATGCTCATTTTCTGGTTAAATAACTTGATAAAATAATTAGAGCTTTATATTATTATTTTTTTTTTAAAGTAAAAAGGTATTCAGATATTGGATCACAACTGCAATCAAGGGCAGTTAGCGCAAACCCAGGTCGTGTTTTAATAAATCATTTAATAGATTAAATGCTTAAAAGAAAACTGTCAGGGTAGAATTATAGGAGCTGCCGCTGCTGACTTAAAAGAATTAAAGCTCCAAAGCTTGTTTTCAAAGAGCTTGAGACTTTAAAAACAAGTCAGCAATTGTAGTTCCCATATTTCCATTCTGACAGGTTCCCTTTAAGAAAAAACACATAATGTACATGTATTTACAGTAACAGTACAGTAAAATGTCATTAGTTGCTATGGGTTGCTGCATTTAGCAAACCTTTTATTAAATAAACCTGCTAATAATGAGCAGAAAATAAACCAAGCAGTGTAAAAAAACCCCCAGAAAATAGGAAGTAGTGCAAATAACACTGGTTTTTAAGCTTTATTAAAATCATTGATGCCCACAAAACAGAATTTATTAAAAAATGTTTGCTTTAATACAAGTTCCCCAGGTATCTCAATGCCATTTGTTTGACTATCCCTTGCCTATTATCCTAGAAAATGGCCATTACTTATTTTGAACATTTGGCTCTCTTTGATTTCAATAGGATTCGGATTTGGCACCTTTAAATTAATAATGTTTGCCAAACTCACTTGGAGCTGAACTCAGGTACATTCGGCTCATCCTTAGGATCAGGAATCTGGTAGAGATGGCTGTTTCCATAGACAAAACTGCCTCATCAAGGCAGCCCATACATTCATCGTGTGAATGGGTTGAATGAAAAAAAAAAAGATCCGATTCCCACATCTACACATTCGGGGAGCCTTCCCCTCATCAGAATACAATGATCAGTGCTGCCGGCTATTGCAGCACTGATCAGCACTGATTCTTTCCCAAATTATTATGTACCTTCACATGTATCCAGACTTCCAAACTGTTGAATACTGTTTATCTATTCAGAAAATAGCCGTGACATATTTTGTTTCTCTAGAATTGAATTTGTTTTCTTTACAACATTTGGAGGTACATATTTATACCGTTGACATAAACAGTGGTGATTAAGATCTCACAGCCACAAGCACAATTAAAAATTTACTCTTCATAAATAATAAAACAGTGTCTGTGTGTAATCAGTATCAAAAGTGGACAGAGCTCACTCTGATCTTGCAAGATACAAACAAGTTCAAAAGAAATATCTTTTGCAGTTTTAGGAAAGCTGGAAGTACAAAAAATATGTAACAATTTGCTACTGCTGATATCCTTGAGAGTTATAAACCACCATCATGAGAGCTCCCCAAAATTATTTTCAGTGTGGCTAAATTACATTTGAAAACCGAAACACATCAAACTGTATTGCAAACAAAATCAATTTTAAAATTTACCTGCATTTGTTTCATTTTTGAGTAGCGTATGATGATCACAAAAAGTTGTTCCAAAGACAACTAAATTTGGCACAGGCCTCCCATTACCTTCCCCAACCATTATTACTGTATGATTTGAAATATAGACTTCAGATCATAGCCTTATGTTATTGCAGCCAGATGATTTTCAGAGTTCTGAATTTGGAATGGTTTTTAAGAGTTTTCCAAGCTTACTGAGAAATGCAAGCACAAAGCAGCTACAGAGACTTCCATGTCCATCCAGAGACTGATGAAAGGGAAATTCCCCCAG